GTAATTATTTTTGGGTGTTTGTTAATGATTGATCACAAGCTTTGCTTGTAGTGTAATTCCCCTCTTCAGAAGGAGCTCAGACCCATGACTCCAATAATACCACATGCGTATGGACACCCTCCCCCCCCCCCCCCAAAAAAAAACAAAACAAAACAAAACAAATCAAACAAACAAACAAACAAACAAACAAACAAACAAAAATTTCAACACCATAGATTATACTGTTTATTTCACAATTTGAGCAATTTCAATCAGAAAGGATAGTTGTTGAAACAAATAGGAATAATTGTTGGAGAGTATCCATACATATGTGTCTTGCACCAAAATTTGATTTGGTCTTTCTTTTGTATTTCAATTTCTAAAAATAAATTCCAAAGACTGAATGTCTTTAGAATATTTTTGAACAGTGTAATACAAAGTAATAGATACTGAGTTAGGAGTTAGAACCAATCCATACATCTGGTGATACATTTGTTTTTATCTATAATTGTTCTCTTTGAAAGCATGCTTTTGTCAATTGAAGCTCATAAGTATCAAAATCAGTGTGTCTTTATCTATATATATATATATATATATATGTAATCTCAAAAGTAATATATTTATATATGTACATTTTTCATATTTTACAAATTTTACATTAGTATACAGGTGGATGAGAACGTAAACTCCCTTTTGTTCAAAGATACAACATTCAACAGCCTTGGCCTTGCAAAAGATTCCATCAAACAGCTTGTAAGATTTTGTTAATATCTTGTATCTTTTACACCACCACTATTGACGATTTCTTTTATATATATGTGTATATATGTTTATATATATATATATATATATATATACATGAATGTTCATCTAATCCACCACAAACTGCATTGTAACTCAACCATTTTATTCCAAAAAAGAAAAAAGAAAACATTTACACTTGTGGTAACTAAAGCTAAAATGATTCTTTCCATGAGCTACAGTATACAGAAATGATTTTTTATTTATTTTAATGTATTCATATTTATTTTCTTGATAATGTTGTGAAAACACCCAACATATGTCTATATGATCCCAGTTGCGGAACATATGTATTAAGTAGAATACAGGAGTGAGAAATTTGGATACTAGACTGTTTTTGCCAACAGTTCTCTCTCTCTCTCTCTCTCTCTCTCTGTATATGTGTATATATATATATATATATAGACCAAAATGGTGAGCTGAAGCACTGCTGTACTCCACCAACTGTACTACAGGAAACCCTACTTTAACCAACTGATTGATTTTGAGCTTAGCACCCAACTGATTGAAGTTGAAGCATGATGAATCAGAATATGCTGTAGCTTGTGGAGGCAGGGACAGAAGAAGCAGAAGAATAAGGGATAGCAGGGGATGGTGTTGAAATCAAGAGGCAGTGGCATCTCATTCTCCTCCCTCTACAACACCACCCATGATGACCACCACCTCATGAGTGAGTGACAGGAACACAATCACCCCTCCCCCTCAACTTCTGTTTTTGCCACACTTCCGATTGCAACATTGCTTAACGCTCAGCTCTCCTCCTGATCGGTGACCTGCCAGTTTCTCGTCCTAACCCACAAGACGGTTATGCATTCCAAAAGTACTTGTGACCATACCCATGTTATTGCAAAATTTGTAAGAGACTTTGGTGGAAAACCAAGAATGAGAGAAAGCGGTGCCAACTTGTGTAACTACATGAGATCAGTGTTATAAGTGGAGAAGAAGAAAGTGGGAGAAAGAGGGCAGTCGAGGTGTCAGAGGGAAAAAGAAAAGAAGGAGCGGCTACTATCAGCAAGATTGGTCGCTGGGGTGGAGATGAGTTGAGACGTCCAAACTGGAAAGATACTGATGTTTCACAGAGAACGATTGAGAAAATAATAGGTTTGGGGGGGGGGGGGGGGGGGAACTTTCCCCAATAGTCGCAATAAGGGAGGGGGTTGGGAAAGGGAGAGGTGCACGCATGGCCATGATCTTGGCACTTACTTGTGGAGCTCGGAGGAAAAAAAATAGGCACCCACACCCAGCCAAGAGGAAAATGACCGGCGAAAAAAGGTGATTGGGGTGAATATTTGTCTCGTGAGCTTGACACTCATCTAGCTGGCAGTGAGGTGTCCTTTCAATTGCAACAGTTCCATTCGATAAAATCGTAT